GTTCCCAGGCACAGCTATTCACTATCTTCTGGAATGTTTAAGGATGTGCCAGCTTTCTCCGCTTATCTCCAGAGCGTTGCTCTGGAGACGAGAGCACCCTCTTCACCCCCCTTCCTCCATTCCAGTCCATCACATTAAAGCACCCCAGACAGATGGCTGTCCAACCTGCGTTTGAACATACCCAGAGGTGTGGAGGTCACCATTTTTCTAGGCAATTAGTCCTGCTGTTAAACTACTCATTCTGTTAGAAAAGTTTCCCATCCTCCCCGCAACATTCAACTGTAATCTGCTTTTCTGTAAATTGACCACTTTTATGAACCCTATACCCTGGGATAACAGAGAACAAATCTTGACCTTCTTCTGTATTGGGATTGTGTAAAACAGTCCATGCACTCAACAGTCACTTTTGCGTGGTCTATGTCCAGACAAAAATACATGTTATGTCTAGTGATGGACCAGACTGAGAAAAATAGGTGAGCTGACTGGAGATGCTATGCTCAAATATAAAGACAAAATCAGTGTCTTTGACAAAGTAAGACAAGGTAAGGAAACACAGTAATGAAGCCAGGTGGTACTTATAGACTGTCCTCTTGAGTCTGTTTTTGAATATATGCAGCTATCAATGTCTATAGTTCCCTAGTTCCTCCTCTCCCTCTTTTTCTTTTCAAACTACTGTATATTCTGGTAGTTTGAAAGTCTCAGTCCCCAAGTAGAAGAGAAATAGTAATTTGCTAAGTGCAAACACATCCTCCCTCCACTTTTGTTCTTTGAGTGAGATGAAGAGTGCCTGAAATCTATGGAAATGTTATGCACGGAAAAATAAAAATGACATCAATAGGTGTCGTTACATGATAAAATTTTTCTTCAGCCTGCAGTGGCCTTGAGCACATTGGGTCAGTTCTTGAACAGTTTGGGATTATATCCAAGTGACTTAATTCAGTTGTAAAGTTTCTTTCCAGCAAACAGCTGCTCTTAGAAAATGGTCCAGGAATCATACTCTTTTTTAGCTCTGAGGTCATAAGGTCACAAAGGTTCACAAGGTCAGGAAACTCTCTTCTTGACCTTGTGAACATTTCCAAGACTATTTTTTCTCCTGATATTGAAACTGATTGCTGGGGGAAAGGATGGAGAAGGAACTCTGAAATTGGACAGGGGATCTAGTGAGTAGGGACAAAAATCTTTAGAATGAAAAGTTCTCCAGACTTCTAGAATCCCAGAATTAGATTATAAATCTAACCCAGCCCATGACACTTAATTCTATCCCATAAGTTTCCATAGGTAGGAATGTATTCAAGTTTATTTAAAAAGGCGGGCATGGATTTGGGGAAAGGAAGGCAGAATGTCACTGCATCTTCCTGCCTCTCTGGCAGGAACCAAACATGCTGCTTAGAGTTTCCAAAATCAGAGTTCTCCAAACCTACAGGAAGGATGGTCTTGCCAGCAATAATGGTGGTGCTTAATGTTTGTGGAACACATTTCAAGTGTTCAAAGTATTTCAGGAACATTATCTTAATAATCCTTATAACAACCAAAAAGTAGTGAATTATTGTTTTCCATATTACATAGGGACATGCAATGAGTTTCCTTTTTGAAAAACTATTTATTTTTCTTGTTTGAAATGCTGTGTTACTCTACTTAAAAAAAAAAAAAATTAGCCCTTAAGAAATAAGTTCCATTGAATTCTGTTACTAGTATTTGTTGAAGCAACCATGTTCTTATTTCAAATGCTGTTTCTTGGTGTGCATAATTATTTTCCAAGAATGTTCCTGATGTCTTGTTTGGGGACATAATAATAGCCACCAATGCATTCCAAATGATGTTCCCCTTCAGTAGGCAACAATTTCACGATAAATCTTTCTCGTGTGACATAATTTCTTCTGGTTTTCACAACTGATGCTGTTAGCCCTTCCAGTGTGACTTTTAACAAATCATTTGCTTGGAAGAACATCTTGGTTCTGAGTTTTACTTGGTCTGCAACAGCTTCACATCCTTCCAATTCAATTCTCTTTGCTCAGTTATGTTAATATTTATAGTGGATATTTATTTTGGGATGCAACATTTGATCTGGAATTAGCCTGAAAATTGATTTTGAACTGTGCTTTGCTGCTGCTGCATAATTATCCGTCAAAAGAAAGCTGTTGGAATTGGCTATTTTAGCCAGTATTGTTTTCTTTTGTGTGCTCTTCTGCTCTGCTTGCCGACTTTTTGTCACTATAAATCTTTTTTTGAAAAGGACTCAGTTGAGCATTATAATAGTACTAGTCGGAAGTAACATCTTTAGAAACTGAAAATAATTAGGAAGAATAGACTGGAGTTCTTGTATGGAGGACAAAAGTAAAGCCAAAACAAGAACACTAGGCCAGTTTGAGACAGCCAAGAATTCAAAATCATCTTACATTGTTGCAATGTCTTCTGTCATTGCTGGGTTGTACTGACCACAAACTGCAAAGAAACATGGAGGAATTACATTCAATTTGAGCTTGGATATAATTTTTAACATATTCAAGTACAATTTATCAAACACCCTGGAAGAAAGAGGGGAGAAGTGGAGGAGGACAAACTTAGAATGTTGCAAGGAGCCAGGAAACTGTCTTACGTAGTGTTTTATTATTATGTTTTTATTTCAAATTACTTGCCAATGTAATTGGCAGGATGTGACTTTCATAGAGATTCTATACTGTACACAGAACAGGTGAACTTCTTAAAATGTGTATTTCTGGGTGTAGAAGACACAAATCCTTGATTCACTCACACAACACCTCTACTTTGAAAGCAGAACTGGTTATTAGTCAGCTTCCAGGTGTAATTCAACATGCTAATTGTCACCTTTAAAGCCCTTCATGGCTCAGGACTTGGATATCTATGGAACTGCACACTCCAAAAAGGTTTTGCCCACCCATTTACATCAGGAAAAGTAGTGCTATCTCCAGATTCCCTGTTTTAGAGTATCTACAGGCTTCTCAGAGTTGGGCTTCTCAATCACTACCCCTCTTCTCTGGAACAGCATTCCCATACAACTTGCCCCAACTCTATTGGCTCTCAGAATTACAACTGGCCTTAGAGGGGAGCAAATGCAATAAATTGATACTAGTTGTTATGGTTCTTCTGCATAGGGATATTTTGTTATTAATTTATTAATGTGAAAACCTGCTATTGATTTGAGTTATATTTTGTGGTGTTTTTAATCCTATTGAAGTATGGCAGGGTTGTAAACCACTCAGAAGCAATCAACAATTGGCAAGGCATATAAGCTGTCAGCCTTACCAGGTGGACCAGACAGGAAACACAAGCAGATGAATTAATTCAACTTTATTGTAAAGCTACATTAACAGAATCTTGCCAGTCTGAAAGTACATTTCTCCCACTGTCACCTTTACAGCCCAAGAACTTAGGGAGGGTCTCTTCTGAGCCTCTTGCTCCTCCCACTATGCAGCTGCGGGCCATGTTCTCTCTTTTCTGACTGTTCCCTAGGCATCTCTTTGCCCCATCTCCCAAGGTCTTTCCCGTATACCATTACATCACTCTCCTCTTCAGACTCATCCCTGCCTCCTGAGTTCCCAGGGGAAACTGATTGTGGGTTGTGAGAATGAAATGTAGCTGTGTCACTCTCCTCTTCTGCTGGTAACTCCCCAAGATCACAAGAGGTGTCCTGTAAATCAGCTGTGCCTGTAGAGGTGTAGCTGCTCCTCCACTGGGAATCTGTTGGTCTCCCCGTCCCATGTCCTGTTTGCCTGATGTGGAAGGAGCTGGGTTATTTCCCATGCCCCCTACTTGATCTCTTGCTATCCCCAAGGTGCCCTCCACCCCATAGAGGAATTCATCCTGCTCATCTTGATCAGCGCCTAACCCTTGCAAGGCCACTAGTTGCCAAGGATGGGGTTTGCTAGGGTCTTGGTCGGGAAAGTGGTGCACCAACTGTGGCGCATGCACATCTGTTACTGCCTCCCATGACCTCTCTGACTCTGGGTAGCCTTTCCAGTATATCAAGTATTCAACTCATTCTTCTCTGTGTCTGGAGTCTAGCACTGCTTCCACCTCATACTCTTCCTCCCCATTTACCAGTATGGAAGAGGGGTGCCATCTGTGAATGCAGAGTCCAGGGGGGTGCCGCTTTCACAAAGACTGATGGAATACAGGGTGAACCTTCACGGATGCTGGCAACTGCAAACCAAATGCTACTGAGTTTATTTGCTTAGTCACTGGGAAAGGGCCAACAAATTTCAAGTTTAGTTTCTTGGAAGGTCTCACTGAAATCAGAAATTTTGTAGAAAGCCACACCAAATCCCCTTCTGAAATTCTAGCTCCCTCTTATCTGTGTGCATCTGCTGTTTTTTTGTATGCGGCCTTAGCTAGTTTAAGCTGTTCCTTTAAGGGGCCTTGGGCTGCTTGCCGTAAATCTGCAGCCTGAGGACCGGCGCTTTCTTGCCTGGTTGTTGGTAAGCTCATGGGCGGCATCCATAAGTTGCCTAGTATGGGGACATACCGATAGAGGAGTGTGTTGCACTGTTGTAAGCAAATTCAGCAAGAGGTATGAGATCAGTCTCTAGATTGTCTTGCTAGTGTGAAATATAGCATTTTAAATATTGCTGCAACAGTCGGTAAACCTTTTCTGGAAGTTTGTTTTGGGAACCTGGAATGTATGACATGTAAAAATCAAAGCAGGAGAAAAATTCTGCCCACCTGATTTGCTGAGGGGTGAGAGACTGAGCACTGAGCATTTAGAGGTTTGCAGAACCTCTAAATTCTTATGGTCTGTATGAACTTGTATGAGGTGGGAAGCTCCTTCCAGCAGGTGTCCCATTGCTGAAAGGCATTTTTTATTGCCAGCAACTCTTTACTGAAAATATCATCATTCCTTCCTACTGGGAGGAACATTCTGGACATGTTAGTATAACTGTCCCCCTTTCCTTTTTCGCCTGGAGCATGACCGCTCCTGTGGCCTCATATGAAGTGTCTGTCTGCACCACAAAGGGGTGGGAGGGGTCAGGGTGGTGGTGGAGGGGCCGAGAAGCAAATAATTATTTTAACTCCTGAAACACTTCCTGCTTTTAGGTGAACCAGGAGAATTGCCAATCCTTTCTTAGGAGCTGGGACAGTGGTTTTACATGGTCAGCAAAATTAAGGATGAATTTCCTGTGGAAGTTAGCAAAGCACAGAAAGCATTGCACATCTTTCACATTATTGGAGATTGGGGGGGGTGCCATGATAGAATAGATTGTACCTTTGCTGGATCTATCTGTATGTCTTCTGTGGCCCAAATGGTCTAACTGAGGCAGCTCAAATAGTCACTTTTCTAGTTTGGCAAAGAGCTTGTTGTCCTGTAATTTTTGCAATATATTTCTGAATGTGGGTGACATGCAAGAAGGGATCTTCGGAATAAACTAATGTCATCTAAGTACACCACCATGTACTTGTCTAGAATTTCTGAAAATACGTTGTTCGTGAATCTAGAAAAACAGCTCAAACGGCCGAAAGGCATCACTGTGTATTGAAACTTGCCATATCTTACATCGAAGGCTGTTAAATACTTGTGTCCTTCTTTCATTCTAATTAGCTTGTAAGCCCTTCTCTAATCTAGTTTTGTAAAGATGCGCAACTTTTGTAGCCGGTTTAGGAGAACTGAAATAAGTGGAAGTGGATAATGGTCTCTAATTGTCACTCTGTTCGGGTCTTTGTAGACATGAATGGTATGCATGGAGGCTCCCTCCTTTCCCTTCGGAATGGCTGTTGCTTCTCGTTTTTTCGGGACAAAAAATGTGGGTGCCAGTGCTGGTGAGTTGGAAGGGCGAATGAATTCTTTTTGATGCTGTCATCCAACTATTCCTTGAGAATGGCTACCTCGTGGGTAGACATGGGATACTGTCTCCTTGCTGGGATTTGGGCTAATGGCCTCACATTGATGGTGCAATCACTGCCCAGAAGGGGGAGCGTGGTAACACAATTGCCTCTTCTTCCCCAAACACATCTGCAAAGTCTGTATATTTTTCTGACAGTGCCGATTCTCCCTTATTCTGCAATGGGGTGGGGTGGGGGTAAGCTTTTACTGCTTGTAAGCAAAGTTGCTGGTATTTTGGGGAGGGGAATGAGAGTGTCCCTTGCACCCAATTTACATCTGGATCATGCAGCTGAAGCCACTCTATTCCCAAGACGATAGGCACTTGCAAGGAGGCAGCTACATACAGCATTATGAACTCTATGTGATCTTTGATTGTCAGTTGCAAAGGATCCATGCGCTGCAGGATCAGCCCTGCTCTTAGTGGCTGCCCCTCAATCATCTTGACTATCACTGGGCTTTCTAGAGCTTGAATAGGCAACTGTAGTTTTGTACTGCTTCTGTATCTTTGAAATTAGCGGTTGCCCCTGAGTCTACAAGAGCAGAAAGTTCCACCTTCTGCCTGGTACCTAAAGTAACAATAACAGGAGTAATTAGGTATGCTTGTCTGCTGTTGGCTGACTGAGCTCTCCTCAAATGGTGGAGGGCCCACCTCTGGAGCTCCTGGGAGGGGGGCTGGCGAAGTTTCCCTGGAGTGCAGGTTTGAAGCAAGCTGGGCACTTGCTGGCTCTGTGCTCTGTTGATTTACAAGTTCTGCATCTCATTGCTGTGGCAGATGCTGATGCTTTTACCGGGCATGCTCTAACTATGTATCCTGGGGACCCACAGTAAAAGCACAGTCCCTGACCCCTTCTTCTTTGCTTCTCTCCTGATGACAGGGATCTCTTGGCTGCTCTGATGTGCATGGGTTCTCCCACACTGGTTTCTGAGGAGGCCATTGGGAGGAGTGGTATGGAGGAAGAGAGACTGTAGGTTCTTTTCCCCTTACTGTTCCTTTCTTGCCTTAACTCCAGGGGAGTGTCCATTATTATACAATGCTGATACAGCTCTTCCGGGGTATTTGGGGTGCCTTGCCTCACCAGCTTATCTCTTAGGTCCTCAGCCAGCACTTCTATGAACCGGTGAATCAGGGCTAAGCCATTCCACCCACATTACTAGCAAGTAATTTAAAATCCGAAATATATGACTTTACTCTCTTCTGTACCTGCTTGAGCTTCCGGATTTCTTAACTGGCAGTGATTCTCTGTATGGGGTCCCCAAAATGTCCTTTGAGTTTATGCATGAAGTCTTGTTAGTTGTCCAGCACCAGATCATTCCCCTCAGTGAACGTTACCCACTTAGCTGCTGCTTCCTTCAGCAAACGCAGCACAAAAGTCACTTTGGTGTGATCAGTGGGAAACTCCACCGGCCTGCCTGCCATAAACATTTCACATTGAGCAGTGAATGTTGATTCTGGTCCCCTCTGAACCTCTCCAGCAAGCTTCCATGGGAATGCAGAAGCATTGGCTGAACCACAATTTGTTGCGCTGCCATGGGTTGGGGAAAATTCTGCCCCAGCTGTTGTGTTAGTTGTATCATCACATTCTACAAATTGGTCATTTGTGCATCCGCTTGTTGCTGGTGTTGCAATAACACTGCTGCCACATGCTCGGCAGATAGCAGAGTTCCTTGAGGATTGGAGACCATTTATGAAATATATTTCCTTGAAAGAGAGTATGAGACCTGCAAAATTGATGTCAGCCTTACCAGGTAGACCAGACAGGAAACATGACCAGATGAACTAGTTCTACTTTATTGTAAAACTGTATTAATAGAATCTTGCAAGCCTGAAAGTACAATTCTCCCGCTGTCACCTTTACAGCCAGAAAACTTAGGGAGGGTCCCTTCTGAGTCTCTTGCTCCACCCACTGTGCAGCTGTGGGCTATGCTGTCTCCTATCTGACCATTCTCTAGGCAGCATCTCTTCACCCCTGTCTCCCAAGGTCATTCCCATATACCATTACATAAGCTTATAGTACTAGACTAAAATAAATAAATGATTTTGGAGAACATCAGGTTGGAATTACTGTGGTAGTACAATCTGAAGGATCATCTATTTCTTAGAGTTTCAGTCCTGTATGATTGGACAGTGTTGGCATGCTCCAGGCCCCACCAATTAAACCATATCATCTAACTGAACCAAGAAACAGCCCCTATCAGTTATAGCACCTGCCCTCTAGAAATATCCCCCCCCCAACATCTGTATGGCCCTTACCCTAACCATGTTTTAAAGATCTTTAAAAAACTAACTTTTTTCCCAGGCCTTGGGCTAGTGTGGGTGGTAATACTTTTATAGGATCCTACAGGTTAGTATGACTGCTTTTTTCTCTTCTGGACATCATAATTCTTTTCTTTGTTATATTGCTGTTTTTAACATTCTCTGCCACCCAGAATCTTTATGGAGTTGGATGGCCTTATAAATTTGATAATTAAATTTGAATGATTTAAAAGCTATCTTCCTATGATAACAAAAAGGGCTTATTTCTTCAACACGGAGAGCAGATCCAGGAAAAGTAGAGGGAATGTAATAAAACTAAGCAGAGATTTCAAATTATGAAGTCAATAATGAGATAAATTAATCCAGAAAAAATAAAAGCTTGAGTACAGGAGCCAGGAAGGATGGTGAAGCAAAACTTCCCACCAATTGAAAAACAGTTCATCCAGGAGCTCTGCAATACTGCAGTATTAGAGAGGGAAAACCTAATTTTGCTCCAGTTTCTAATAAACCAAGCAAGAAATCAGCTCTCCAAAAGCAGCCAGTACTGTGAGAGCTGCTTTTGAACTGTTGCAAACCTCTCACAGCCATCTGTGAAATCTAAGCCATCCACAAAATGTCATCAATATTTTATTGCAGGGAAATATACTCACATCTACATCCTGTTACAGAGGTCCCTCATACTGTACATAGTGTAATTGTACACTAACAATTATGCCTTTGATTCTTCCAGATATTTTATTACAATTCCCATCAGCTTTGAGCAGGATGGCCAATGGTGAGGGATCCTGAACACTGTTCACAAAAAATATTTGGAGAGATAAAGGTTGAAGAAAGCTGACCTAGGTTCAACAAATCAAACTAGAAAGAAGACAACATTTTAATTCCCAGATTTTGCACTGAAAAATCTGTTGCAAGAAATAAAGAAAAATATGGAATTATCTAAATATACATGCATCCTCCATCTGCCTCTAAGATGAAACAGAACTAAGGGACTTGAGAATGAATGCTCTAATCTTCAGGTCAAGGGTGGCCAATGAGACAGATGAGAAAAGGCTGCATAACTGGAGCCAAAGAATTTTGAGACAAAATGAAAGCATTCAACATCAGGAGGAAGTTAAAATAATACTTCATAATCATAAAAAAACAAAGAGTTTATTAAGTTCAGATCAATGGACTAGTGAAGGGTATTCTGTGATTTCTGGGTGATGAAAAAAATGAACATTTAAAAGGCCAAGATTTCATGTGAGAAGTAGCCTGCGAGGTAGTTCTGAAGGACAGTGAGGCCCAATCCTTGAATCAAGGTTATATTTTTAGTTTAGAAAGAGACAGAATAGCAAAGTCAATGCTGCCTGATCAAGTTGAACACTTCTGCTTAGATTGCCTTTTTAGTTTTACGGTGGAGTTTGCAAAAAGTGAGCAGCAGTGCTGGAATTTGTTTTTTGTGCTCAGATTCTGGCAAAATAAAATCTCACTGGAACAAATTCCAAATGTCCAAAATGGCTATACATTTCTTCCTAGATGGTATGATATTGATGATGAGAAGTCCAAGTACTGGAGGTTTACAGTATCTATGCAATTACCACAATGGTAGGCAATTCTTAATCAAATAACAACAGACATCAGTCCTACAACAGAATTCTAAACAGAATAGTTTTAGGCGCCAAGACAACCTTCTACCTCCTAGGTCAATGCTTCTCAACCTTGGCCACTTGAAGATGTGTGGACTTCAACTCCCAGAACTCCCCAGACAGCCATGCT